TACGCCCCGCGTACTCCGATGCTCCAGCCTCCTATAAATAGGATGCGAGGGCAGCCGGCTCTTTCGCCAATTTTCTCTCTTCTCTCTCCCGTTTTGCATCGTTTTGCGTGCCAGAAATACCCCGAAGCCCCGGTATTATTCTCGAGCCCCGAGGCAAGTCCCGAGATCCCGAAGATCCCGAGAAGTGCGGTTCCTGAGTCGAAGCTCTGCCCGCGAGAAGTTCGATTTTTGTGGAGATCTTCCAGATCTACTGAGGATTACTACTTCTGCAAGTCGTAGTGCTGTCCGATCATCTTCTGATCAAGTGAGTGTATACTACCTTTCATAAACACGATAATAATACATGTATGGTTTGAGTGTATTAAGTATATTGTTGTTTATATGTGTGGGTGTGTAGTTACTTTCTTCTAACACATAAATGTGAAGTATTTGCTATGAAATACATGCTATGTGTTTATATGTTATTTGTCTATTTGAGATGGGCATGGAAATTGGAGTTTTATACAGGTGTTAAATGATCTAAACTGTGTAAGTGTTTATATCTACAAAATTGTTGGGTAGAACATAGTTAGATGGAATAGTTGGTGACTATGGAGTTAGCGCCTATTGTATAAACCTTGGCGACGATGTGACTTTATGCCTATTTGATGAAACTTGGTGACTATGGAGTTAGCGCTCGTTGAGTAAACCTTGGCGACTATGGAGTTAGTTCTTGTTGAGTAAACCTTGGCGACTATGGAGTTAGCGCTTGTTGAGTAAACCTTGGCGACTATGGAATTAGCGCTTGTTGAGTAGACCTTGGCGACTATGGAGTTAGCGCTTGTTAAGTGAACTTTGGTGACTATGGAGTTAGCGCCAGATAACTATGGATTTAGTACTTGATAAATAAGCTTTGGCAGCAATGGAATTCGTGCCAAATTCCTTATGAATAAATGAATGAAGGATAGTTGGTTCTTAGGGTAAAACGTTAAGAAGATAATGGGGACGGGTGATTGGGTTGATCGTTTGCTGATTACATATAATAATTATATTATTGTGGGTTGAAAATCCTATATTCTCACCAGGCTCCCAAGCCTGACCCACTCAGTTTTCTTTTCATTACAGGTAATGGCACTAGGGTATAAGTTGGAGGACTTGACGAGAGATTTTGGATTATAGATCAGTAGTTGAATAACTATTGTAAGGTCTATTTTATATTGTTTATGCTTTTGGTTTGTAAGGAACATGACATCCCGAGTTTTTATTATTTAATGAAAATACATTCTTTTCGAGAAATGTTTTGATAAATGGTTATCATATTTTATTTTGGGAACAAATTCCGCAACCGTTTTCTTTAAACGATCACTCTGATTTATAAAACAAAGCATAAACAAATCGGTCTTTTCTGGCCGTGAAATTGGGGATGTCACAGTTGGTATCAGAGCATTCGTTTAAGCGAACTAGGAATTTGTAGGAAATTTCTAGACTTAAACCTAGAATGCTAAGTAATGATTGTGAGGAGTGTGTCTAAAATATGTTAGGTAGTACACCTAAACTGACACAAGCACTAGTTTATTTTAGGAGTGATGCCTAAAATGCTTTTACGTGCTAAATGTTTTGTGTGATGGCTATATTGATGCTATTATTTGTTCGGATCTATGGTCTGTTGCTGACCAGATCTGGAAACCTTATGTGTTTAGGATTCTAAGCGTATGGCTACGATATTAGAACTAGCATGTAAACGTTTCGGGGTGATAAGGAGATTTATACATTTATCGTAATTAAAGCTTTCTTATCTTAAAATTCTCGCTTGGTACACTGAATGTCTGCTTGGATGTACAAGGGGTCATGGTGAAGACTCGTAGAGAAATTGAGTAAATGGAGGAAATGAAGAAGGCTAATGATAGTGGATGACACCTATCAGAAGATATCGTAAGAGTGGTATCTTGCCTTTAGAGTATGTCTATGAAATAAAAGTACGTTTAGAGGAGTACGGTACGTGTAAAGTACACCTTCAATTGGCAGGATGATTGAACGATTGGTGAAGTTCTTGAAGTTGTCTCATCGTCTGATATTTTCATCACCAATTGAGTTGAAGTAGAGTTGATGATTGAAGATTGAGCAATGAAGAAGTCCTAGTAGAGTCTAGGGAAATTGTTTATGATTACTTGGACACATTCGTATGTGTTAAATTGTTTTGTGATTTTATTGTATGGTGACTTGGTCGACTACGGGACAATACTTGGGACGAGTATGAGTAGGTGTGAAAGGTAGTAGATGCATATACTACTGGAAGCACAAGACTCGCACTTGGATCAGGGAAAGTCACAAGGTTACCAAGAAGCTAGTGATTGATTCCATTTTATTCTGGTATGTCATTACTATTGTTTCGGTAATGACTAGTAAGATGGTTCTTGTTCCGACCCTAGTGGTCATATTTAAATTTGAGTTCGACTACGAGGAGTATGTTACGTGGTCTAGAGGACCAAGTTAGATGTGACATCTGACTTAAGTTAGAAGGTTGAAGTTAATGCGATTGATAGTGCCGCGCTCGTTGCTAAAAGAAGTTTGCAGGTAGAAGTGCTACAAGCTGAAATGTTATTATATCACATTAGAATATGAAGGAAGGTATATTCCATTTTGGAATTTAACTCTAAGAGACCTGAGTCTAAGCATTGCATCATTCGATGAGAGGTCATTAGAACACGACCCATCGGTTGTTACAATAGATAAATGAAAGTATTTATCCTGAGAAGAAGAAGGAGTCCACAATAAGGACTTATTTTGTAACTTGGAAGTTATGATTGAAAGTACAACATAGTACGATAAGCAGACGCAAGATTGGGTATCGTCTGCGGTCAAGAAAGCCATAGAGTTAAATACTCTTTCGAGGAAACATAAAATTTACAGTTATTACCTAGGATGAAGAGATAGTGTATGGAATCATTATACAAGTTCTATTTTCGTTGATGATTCCGGGACGTAATCATCCCAAGGGGAAGATAATTGTAACGCCCGTAGATCAGGGCTAGTCAATTTAGAGACAATAAGCGTCAAAAATGACTTTTTGATAGAAGACTATTTAGGATAAATAATCCTAACTAAGTTGTAGTATATGTTACAAGGTTTCCGTGCATATAAAGAATGCCAAAATCCGAGTTATAACGAAGGAGTTATGACCTGTTGAAGTTTCGCAACAGAACCGACACAACGCTGAATGACGTAAAAAGTGAATTCATGTTAGAGTGATATTTAGCCTTAGCGATCTAAACGAGAATCGAAGATCTCGTTGTTAGTAGCGAAACGACGAAAAGTTAGGCAAGAACGGACGTCGGACGAAGAAGTTATGAATTTATAACGAAATTTTCTGTCCCGACCTATTAAAAATAAATAATAAAAATAAAATTCAAAATTAGCCGACGGAGTCTAAACGAAAGTCGTAGAGTGTAGTCTCACCTACGCGTGGATATAAAGAACGTCGAAAACGGAGTTCGTATGAAGAAGATATGAATTTTCGAAGTTTATTAATGAATTAATAATTAAATTTAATTATTAAATCCCGACCTTATCCGAAGACGAGTCATCGGACTCATCCGAAGTACGCCCCGCATACAGCGAAGCATGACGACCTTCGCACTCGAGTTCTTCGGATGATGCATGCAGTGACGAATTCGGATGCGTACGCCCCGCGTACTCCGATGCTCCAGCCTCCTATAAATAGGATGCGAGGGCAGCCGGCTCTTTCGCCAATTTTCTCTCTTCTCTCTCCCGTTTTGCATCGTTTTGCGTGCCAGAAATACCCCGAAGCCCCGGTATTATTCTCGAGCCCCGAGGCAAGTCCCGAGATCCCGAAGATCCCGAGAAGTGCGGTTCCTGAGTCGAAGCTCTGCCCGCGAGAAGTTCGATTTTTGTGGAGATCTTCCAGATCTACTGAGGATTACTACTTCTGCAAGTCGTAGTGCTGTCCGATCATCTTCTGATCAAGTGAGTGTATACTACCTTTCATAAACACGATAATAATACATGTATGGTTTGAGTGTATTAAGTATATTGTTGTTTATATGTGTGGGTGTGTAGTTACTTTCTTCTAACACATAAATGTGAAGTATTTGCTATGAAATACATGCTATGTGTTTATATGTTATTTGTCTATTTGAGATGGGCATGGAAATTGGAGTTTTATACAGGTGTTAAATGATCTAAACTGTGTAAGTGTTTATATCTACAAAATTGTTGGGTAGAACATAGTTAGATGGAATAGTTGGTGACTATGGAGTTAGCGCCTATTGTATAAACCTTGGCGACGATGTGACTTTATGCCTATTTGATGAAACTTGGTGACTATGGAGTTAGCGCTCGTTGAGTAAACCTTGGCGACTATGGAGTTAGTTCTTGTTGAGTAAACCTTGGCGACTATGGAGTTAGCGCTTGTTGAGTAAACCTTGGCGACTATGGAATTAGCGCTTGTTGAGTAGACCTTGGCGACTATGGAGTTAGCGCTTGTTAAGTGAACTTTGGTGACTATGGAGTTAGCGCCAGATAACTATGGATTTAGTACTTGATAAATAAGCTTTGGCAGCAATGGAATTCGTGCCAAATTCCTTATGAATAAATGAATGAAGGATAGTTGGTTCTTAGGGTAAAACGTTAAGAAGATAATGGGGACGGGTGATTGGGTTGATCGTTTGCTGATTACATATAATAATTATATTATTGTGGGTTGAAAATCCTATATTCTCACCAGGCTCCCAAGCCTGACCCACTCAGTTTTCTTTTCATTACAGGTAATGGCACTAGGGTATAAGTTGGAGGACTTGACGAGAGATTTTGGATTATAGATCAGTAGTTGAATAACTATTGTAAGGTCTATTTTATATTGTTTATGCTTTTGGTTTGTAAGGAACATGACATCCCGAGTTTTTATTATTTAATGAAAATACATTCTTTTCGAGAAATGTTTTGATAAATGGTTATCATATTTTATTTTGGGAACAAATTCCGCAACCGTTTTCTTTAAACGATCACTCTGATTTATAAAACAAAGCATAAACAAATCGGTCTTTTCTGGCCGTGAAATTGGGGATGTCACAGTTGGTATCAGAGCATTCGTTTAAGCGAACTAGGAATTTGTAGGAAATTTCTAGACTTAAACAATGCAACGGAATATAAATAAGTTTGTGTACCAGGTTCTCTCTCTCTCTCTCTCTCTCTCTATATATATATATATATATATATATATATATATATAGTGTGTGTGTGTGTGTGATGTTACCTGTAGGTTTGGAACCTAGTGTGTGCATAACAATAGGCTTGATTTTGTTGCCTTTCATCTGTTCTAGCAACCCCATGGCATCATCCATTTTCCCTAGTTTACATGCAGCATCAATCGCAATACTAAACGAGACCCCATCAAGGAAAACCCTTGATTGCTGCTTAAAATGCTTGAACACGTATAGAGCTTCATCAAGCATGCCCAAACCGCACAAGTATTGCATCATCCACCTCACATACCCATGATCGATTGTTTGAATACCTCTTGATTCCATTTCCTTACAGAGAACCAATGCCTTAACAATGTCCCCTTTCTCACAATAGCCTCGAATTAATGCTCCATAACAACGCGCATCTGGGACAACTTCTCTAAGCTTCATTTCATGAAGCAACACATCTTCTGCATCTTGTAGCTTCGATTCTTTTATAAAACCTCGAATGACACAAGCATATGAAAAAACATCAAGCAGCGGCTTATTCAAATCCTTTACAACCTGAAAGGCTAAATCAGTTTTCCCATTGCAGCAAAGCACATGAATATACCTACTATAAATGAAAGCATTAGGTTCGATTCCAGCCTCTTCCATTTGTCGAAACACGTCCCAAGCTTCTTTCAAACAACCCTTCCTACCATGTCCTCTAATCAGCATCCCATATGTATACACATTCGGGATCAACCCATTCCTCTTCAGTTCTCTGTAAACCGACTCTACCATATCCTCTTTGTCCCACATGATCAACTTGTTCAATACAAAATTACACGTTTCTGTTGACACCACAAGTCCACCCCTACTTTTCATCTCGGACAAGGTGTACATGGCCTCCTCAAACTTTCCGACACTTGCATACACCTCAACCAACCCATCAACAGCTTTTATTAATTTTTCCTCCATCAATGCGTCAAACAGTTTATCAGAAATTTCAAAATTAAAAACTTCCCAATTTGTATTATCAATAACATCATTAAGCAAATTATTTGACCTTACATCCATACTCCCCCAATCCCAATGACACAACAATCGAACAACTGACATGTAAGTTTCTAAATCATGTTTAAAACCAGACTCTTTCAATTCACGGATAAATAACAAAGCGCTGCTCCGTTCACTCTCTAACTGCTTCAAGGTTTCATTAATAACCTTAAACTTAATCTTACTGACCGGATGACTGGTATCCGAAGATGAGTCGGCCACGTCGGAGCATGTTGCATAGGCAAGCGATCTAACAGATTTCCAACGGACATTCCAGGAACATTTTACCAAATTACAGCGAGAAGCCAACCTGATAAAAGGAGGCGGCGGCGGCGGCATAGCGTTTCAGATTCCAAACCTATCGATTTTGGAATCGGAAACCCAACACTGATAAAAATAAAAATATGTGGGGTTTGACTCATTCAAAATTAGGATAAGCGTTTGGACCTGGAAAATCGGATAAGCCTTTTTTTTCTTTTATTTTTTTTTACCTCTACGTGGATTTCATCAAAACCATCCGGTTTTTTTACCGGTTTGGTGCAGCAAGGGTCCATCTAACCCTTCTCATCTATCACCTTACTTTTTTCCTTAAATAAACAAATCATTATATTAATAATTACCTTTTAATAACCATCATTACATAATAATTTTATGCCTTTTATTTATAATTTTTAAGTAATTAATAAATAATGATGAATTTTTTACTAATTATAATACCTTTTTATATAAAAGTATTTTAATAATCTTTTTTAAACTTGCAACATAAAATTGGTTAAATATATTTTTTTATATATTTTTTAAACTTGCAAAATAAAATAGGTAAAATATAATTTTTTTATATATTTTTTAGGTTATTAAACTTGCAAAATAAAATAGGCTAAATATAATTTTTCTTTTTATATAATTTTTAGGTTATTTGTATGTAATTTATTAAAATTATTTTATTTAAAAATATTATAACAAATGGTTAATACCTTAAAAACCATTATTTATACATCCTCGTTTCGATTTAACCCCAAATTTATTTTTTGTTCTTCATTTGCCATTATATTTTAGAAAACGTTTCATTTTCGGACCTTTGACCGGTCATCAACAGGTAATGATGACGTGTCAGTTTTTGTATTTTTTTGTTTGCATTTGGCCCCAACATTTACGTATAAGTTTGCGTTTAACCCCAATATTTTTTGTTCTCTATTTGCCATTATTTTTTAGACAAAATTTCGTTTTAGCCATTGGTCAGTCACGAATAGATATTTTAAAACGTAAGAGTTGAAACTACGACTTCTCATTGAGGGTGAGACGTGTTACCTAGTAAGCCAATAAATTTTTTTTTTTTGTATTATCAATATTTGTTGTATTTAATCTACACATGTATTTTAAAATGAAGGAAAAATATCTAGTGTAAGTCTTGAATCTGTAACATCTAATAAACAATATGACATGCTAATCTTTAAGCTAATCAAAATTGTTAATTCATTCGTAATTCATCTAAAAACAATTGGTTATGTTTACCGACATATTTGTTAAGAAACCATATATTTCTAAAGAGTAAAAAATGTGTCTTCTCTTTAAGGGACGAGGTGTCTTACATGTTTACATTAAATTCAATACAACAAACATTGATAATACAAAAAAAGAATCATTAACTTACCATCTAACACGCCTCGTCCCTTAAAGAGAAGGCACATTTTTTACTCTTTAGAAATATATGGTTTCTTAACAAATATGTCGGTAAATATAACCAATTGTTTATAGATGAATTACGAATGGATTAACAATTTTGATTAGCTTAAAGATTAGCATGTCATATTGTTTATTAAATGTTACAGATTCAAGACTTACACTAGATATTTTTCCTTCATTTTAAAATACATGTGTAGATTAAATACAACAAACACTGATAATACAAAAAAAAAAGTTATTGGCTTACTAGGTAACACGCCTCACCCTCAATGACAAGTCGTAGTTTCAACCCTTACGTTTTAAAATATCTATTCATGACTGACCAATGGCTAAAACGAAATTTTGTCTAAAAAATAATGGCAAATGGGGAACAAAAAATATTGGGGTTAAACGCAAACTTATACGTAAATGTTGGGGCCAAATGCAAACAAAAAAAATGCAAAAACTAACACGTCATCATTACCTGTTGATGACTGGTCAAGGGTCCGAAAATGAAACGTTTTCTAAAATATAATGGCAAATGAAGAACAAAAAATAAATTTGGGGTTAAATCGAAACGAGGATGTATAAATAATGGTTTTTAAGGTATTAACCCTATAACAAAAGACAACAAATATGACATACTAATAATAAAACAAAATTTTGAAAGCAATACATATCAAAAGAGTTCAATTACATTCATACTTAATCCTTGATATGTATCCAAGGTATTTCAGAACTACGAGGCCTATGTTGATTGTATAATTCGAAACGCGATCAATACATAGTTTGCCAGAAAGATGCAGACGAGCTTTTATGAGCATTCCAATATGTCGTGGTGGGAGGCATTGGGTAACTTCCTTTTAAAGACACCGAAAAATAATGTCTGCCTACAAGTGCCACTGTAATGTTTCGGTGAGATTGAAACTCTTCAGGACCTCTCCAAAGAGGGAAGCAGGTTGTAGATTGTTCATGGCTTAGACAATGAACACTCACACCAAACTTGTTGGCAATCAAGTAACCAGTCAAAGACATAATCATCCAATGTCGCAAATACGCAGGTGATTCGAACCAACACAAAGACTTGTATACCTCGTTGAACCCATCAGTAAAAACTTGTTGGTATGCATAAAATTGACTTTGTAACTCTTCAAGCAATTGTTGTCGAATGTATAGCCATTGGTCTTCACTGTGCCCTAGACTAATAGCTACCGCTCGAAACCCACTGTTTCCATCACCGAGTACATCTTGCATCTTGTCGATGTAATCATGAAATACATCAGGAATACTCTTCATTAGGAATGGATCATGCATCCGTGGTTCTTCATTTAAGTCAATGCTGTACGAATAATTATGCATTTCAGGTTCTTTATTTAAATCCAACCCAATGAACTCTGATGTGGTAGAGTCGTTGCATCTAGGAGGAGCTTGATTTGGTGGGTTGACGTTTTTTATGTTGTTTCTTCATACTCGGCCGTCCGCGGGTCTTATTTTGAATTGTGGGTTCTCCAACATCAATTGTGCGCGGATCGTATATCTCTTTTAGTTTTTTCAAATAATTTTTTTTCCTGCTTCTGACTGCTTGTTGAAATTTTCTTTATACTTTTCAACATCATCGTCGCAACAAATATCGCCTTTTTTTTTCAGGCTTCGTATCAGAAATACTGCATTTTCTCCAAAAGATATCTATTAAATCCAAGGGTATTTCTTCACCTTTATTAAAATACAAAATAAATATTTTTGTAATATTTAAAAATTTATATATGTTGTAATTGAACATACTAACCTGAGTTTAAGTAAACAGAAAGCATGCAAGCACATGGTAACCCACAACTGGTATGGAGTTTGCAACCACAATTTGAGGAGTCCAACTTTGATGCATTTAACCTTTGGAGCTCTCCTACAATTATATCAAGAGCTTCGTTCGAAACAAAACCTCTTAGTAACCCGAAGCAGTACAAATTGTGATGCTTATATCGGAAAATTAAGCTTTTTTCAAAGCTTTCATTGATCGAAGTAAGTTGTGACTGCACAATTTCATTAATTCGTTGCACAAATCTATCGAGATTAGAACTTGCAGAGTCCAAAAATCTCTTTAAATTGGCATGTGCACTCTCGACTCTATTGGTTGTGTTGTTTCCAAAATTAAGATGTTGATCAATCCAAACAGATACAAACATTTCTTTGTACTTCAACCAAGTATCTTCTATGTATTTCAAAACACCTGAAGGTTGTGATTTAGAAATATAGTTAACACATACGTAAATAAATAATAATATGAAGGTTATGATTTAGAAATATAGCTAAAAAAACAAGCTTACGTGGATATTTTATCAACATTGATTGAAGTCGCATGTAGTTTTCCGTGTAATCCATCAATGTTGGAGAATCAATTAGTAAGTTCCATAATGATCTAAAAGAGCGTCGATCATCTTCCAACGTGGTCATTTTGTTGCAATGCTTCAAAATGTTTTGTTCAATATGCCATTTACAAAGTAATCGGGCAGCATCCGGAAAAATTGTTTCACATGCCTTGATGAGTGCCAACTCTCTGTCTGTGATTATTACACGTGGGTGCATACACGTATCAAGCGTCGAATTTAGACAATTTAACACCCAAGTATAGTTGGCCTCCTTTTCTCTATGTATAAAGGCAAAGCCTATAGAGAATGTCTTTTGAGTTGATGTCACACTAACAATTTGAACCAACGGCTTATTATATTTGTTGGTTTTGTACGTGGCATCTATTATCAACACATGTGGAAATGCACGCCATATCTTCCAAGACGTTGGATGAACGAAGAATAAATTTTCTAACTCATTTGAATCACCTGTAGTAAACTCATAGACATAATCATTGGTGTGTAAAAGGGACATAAGAACCTGCATTGGAGTTCTTCCTGCTTGCTCGTGCATCCGGATCTTTTGTTGTGCATTGTATATTGTTTTAATTGTCGACACATTGTTTTCGTTTTGAACCTTCAATGTTGACAGGATGTCACGTGGCGCCACGTTCTTTCTTGTTAAATTAGCCACCAAACGAGTCTCATCGACAGATAACCGTCTTGCAAATGGATGACCCTCCATATGTTGTGCTGGTGGATGATTATGTTCATCACATATTACTCTTAGCGTCCATTTATCATGTTCTTTTGAATACTTTCCTTCCAATTGAAATTTACAATTAGTCATTTTGCTTCCAGATGCTCTACTTGTATACTCTTTAGGTTTATACTCTCTGCCACGATCACATATAAGTATGACTGTATGCACGTAGCCGTTCCCATATGCCTTTGATCTTCTAGTAACAATGACATATCCTAAAGAACGTGCGGTGTTTTGTGTCCACTCCAATAATTCCTCACGAGACTTGAACTTCTGCAATCAAATTTCAAGTGATTTAGTATATATGTTGTATTTGAAAGCATAATAATTGATATAATTATATAACCTGATCGGTAGAAAATGCCGAAGTTTTTGTAGAAAAATCTTTATCTCTAGCCGACAAGTTGATTCCAAAAAACTTAAACATCTCTAAATAAAAAAAAACACAAGATAAATAATTAGAATATTGCACAAATATAAAAATGAGAAATACATAAAAATAAATATTTTATAAAATTTTAATACTAAAAAAAGCTTATTTAAATAAATTTTATAAGAAAAGACCTATTTTT